TCGCATGTAATAAAAAGTTTTTGTGAAAAGAACATTAGAACAAAGCCGTTCTCTTGAGCATTCATATTTCCTTTTTTTTGAAGTCAAGAATATTTATAAGTCATTATAAAACCCTAAAATAACTTTAATGTTTTAAATAAATATTTATGAACTCATTCCATTTGTTAATTCCCACGTGATTAACTTCCGTTCCTACTAATATCTAACTGTTCTTTAAGTATTTAAATATTGCTCTACTGTCATTTGTTATTATTTCATATCAAAGGAATTCTTCAAAATTCATGAACTAAATGAAATATGATATAATAAAAGTATTGTACGATTAAAAGTTACAGAAAATAACTGAGATATTTCGACGTAAATAAAACTTTCTTCCCGATCTTGGTTTTTTTTTTGGTTCAAGACAATATAATACCTCAATAATTCAAACAAATTTTGTTACAGTTATAACGATTAACGATGGAATTTGAAAAAGGATTGTCCAGCGAGAAACATAAAAAAATGAGTGAAATGTGCATTATAATTCAAGATAACTAAGATTAAAAAGATGTAACGTGAATTCCTTAGTTGTTTTTTGTAATTTTTTTTATTATTATTATTTTTTTTTTTTTGGATACCTTTCAAAGTTAAACAATGTAGTTAGATATATATTTTTATAAAAAAATTGAATTTTTTAATTTACGGATGTTTCGATTAACTATTTCCATTTTCAGGTTTAATGTTGAATTTTTTAAACAAAAAAATACAGGGGGCGTAGGCGATTTCTGACTTACATCGACTTTCCTGTTCACACCAAAGCATAAATTCAATTTTGTCGTTTTATTTTTTTAAAAATCATTTTTTTAAAAAAACAATTTTAAAAAAGCCTTTTTCAACCGAGTTACATTTTTAAAATTTTGGGGTTGTGCTTTCTTTAGGGATTCTGTATTTATCTATTTTATTGGTATATTTGTGCTTGCAATACTAAAACATTATTCAAACATGTGAAGATGCCATCCGTGCTCTTACAAGAAGAGATGGGCGAAATTCCTCTTTCATATGCGCATTTTCTATAAGTGGAAATTCCTCTTTCATCTGCGTTTTTTCTATTAGGGGAAATTCCTCTTTCATCTGCGTTTTTTCTTTTAGGGGAAATTCCTCTTTCATCTGCGCATTTTCTATTAGGGAAAAATCCCCTCACTTGCGCATTTTCTTTTAGCTAAGGGGAAATTCCTCTTTCCTCTGCGCATTTTCTATTCGGGGAAATTCCTCTTTCATCTGCGCATTTTCTGTTGAAGCATTAATATGAAACGATATTGAATTTGAATTTGACATTTGTTTATGAGAAAAATTAGAATGGCTTACCCATATCAACTGGGCCACTTTAAACAGAATAATGTGCAAACTATAATAAAAGACATATAGTGTTTTAATTGAAAAACATATTTTTAGTCTATCCTTAACCCGATTTGAGTTAAAAGCTTTTAAACGCTTTTCGTTATAAGTCATTTCGCTATTAACTTATATAATTCATTCTGGAAAAAAACGAGATTGAATGATGGAAAATTTGCTCATTTTTAGCATATGTGTAGAATAGTAGCTCAAATTTATATGCTGTCAACAACTCGAGCCCTATTTTCTTTCATTGCATTGGAAACAAATCTACACTTTTGCTCGTTCACAGTGATTTGTATCATATATACAATATCATCTGTTTTACATTTTGAAGAAATGTTCGGACTAACAAAAACAAAGCTTATTAAAATATTGAAGTTAAGCAAAAATCATATCAATGTAATTTTCCACAGTAGAGCAACAATCAAATCTGATTGACCAGATATCATTGATATTTACCCATGTAGTTTGCTTCTCTTACGGGGCACTCAATTGAGCAATTACACACAAAGAGGGACGGTATTTGTTTGCAAAATAAACCTTTTTCAAATGAAGCTGATTCTAATATGTTTGGAATAAAGAGACAGTATATGTAACAAATCGTCGCCCTAATTCCAGAGTGTCGTAACTCCAATTTTGAAAAAAATGAGTGTTTGGTATCAAAATGTTCGTAATTTTTTTTCTCTATCTAATGGTAAGAACAACATCACTCTGGTTCTTGCCTGTAACAATATATTGAATGGGTCAGAGTGCTGTAAGTCCAAAAATTGTGATAAAAATACAGTCCATAATATCGTAACTTCTGAACCAATAGTTTGTTAAGATTCTAGTCACGTGATGCTGTTTTGACAAAATGGCAGATTTTTCAAGGTATCAGGAATGACATTTAACGTTTAATATTTCTTGATAACATGTAAGTCTTTTGCTTTAGATGTTATCTAATTATTTATAGATTAATATTTTATTGAACTGTTTCAAACCTTAAAAAGAAATAATAACTACTCTTAACCTTGAGCTAAATTCAAAGCAGCATCTGTTTTTATGAATTCGATAGCATGGAAATCGGATGAATTGATACAAACTTTCATATTCACAAGTATCAGCTGTTAATAACTTGATATGTGATTGATTATATGATTGATTGGTCAATGTTACATTTAATACGGACAATCAGGTTTTTATTGCATAAGATGTTTATTACTTTTAACTTACAAACAAAACTCATCAAATAGAAACATACTACTGTTACATTTTGTAACAATGTTTTTCTTTAAACTATATAAGACAAATTAACTGTACTGGTGCTAAGTGATTCGAATTAAATTTACACATATAACTTTACCACTCATAACTGATGTTAATTAGGTTAATCATGTTTATTTATAATTCATTAATTTTCATAATTTCAAAAATTCTGCACTTTCATATAACGATCACAAAAAAAATATTCAAAAGTTTTGCTGTCCAAGGCATTATGCAATCCAGAGTGGTTAACAATACCACTGTCATATAGAAAGAAAGACAAAACACTTTTAAAATGGCAGGAGTGTTCAGTCCTACACCACTAGTTTTTGTGTTCTTAAAAAGGTACGTCCAAAACGTCAAAGACTATTTGGTGGGTTAAAGTTGACAATTATCTATGACAAAAGTTTAAAAAAGCTGAGAGTTGTCTCAGATGCACCAATTTAGCGTTGAATAAGAACGACGTCATTTGCCAACAAATACTTATTAAACAGAATGCCACCCTGTTGACCTACTCAGCTATTTTGCATAAATCAAAGGGTGTCAGTCCTAATACCTTTTTGTCAACATAATCATTTTCAATCTTATTCTAAAATTTCTTATGTAATTGGAACATGCAAAGCAAAATTAATCTAAGTTAAAAATAATTCTTGTACATCTACTTCCAACTCGTAAGGTAATACTACCTGTAATTATCAAGTGATTTGAACCTTTGAACTGAGAATTATCCATTACCAAAACTATTTTTTAAAAAGAAAATAAAATATGCTTAGTTAAAATTGTCATTCGATTGAAACGTAGAAAAAAAAATGATTTTTGTGAAAAAATGTTACAAAGTCTTAAGACCATATAAAACATTAAGGAATCTTTAAATTGTCATATTTGTTTCATCAAACGTTTGGTTGAAGTAAAATAGAAATTAATTTTTTGACTGAAACTCTTAGATATTGAGCATTGCTTTTATACGAATGAGTTATTGATGTAAACATTTCAGTTAAAAACATTAAAAGCAAACGTATACTTAATTGTTTTGTATGTAAAGAAGTTGTATGCCACTTGATATATAAATACATGTAGTAATTGAAGTAAAGTAGTTCATTGAAACACCATATCCCAGATCTGTAGCATCTTTGAAAATTTGTGAGCTTTGAGTTGTGTTCATATTTTTTCATATTTTTTTAAAATAAAACATTAAGTAATGCTGTTCTTAAAAAAGTAAAATACATAGGTTTATTCTTTTTCATGTTACAGAGAAAGGAACTCATTGTTGATGTTGTTTTTCAAAGTTTAAGCAGTTACATCTTTCAAACATTTTTGTGTGTTTTGTAAGTCAAATTGTGTTCAACATGCTGTTTGTCTGCGAGTAACAGGTAAAATTGAATTTGGGATGAATTTATGATATAATAAACGAAACCAAAAGTAAATCTGAATTCCAAATATTTTATAGTGTATACTAGTGATGTCACGATGATCGAGTAGAATCGAATAATCGTCGCTTGCCGCTAATGTTAGCGACAATCGACTTCTTTACCCTAAAATCGATGTTGCTACTTAAATTTCTTTGGGTTAAAAGAAAGTCACAAAGGGACGTTACTCTAAAAATAATGTCGGACGAGGAAATTTTCAACTTCCCGGGGAAGACACGCTCGTCAGTTTGGCGTTTTTTTGGTTTTAAAAAACGTCATGACGGCCCGCCAGTCAAGCATAACCTTGACATGACGACAGTCATTTGCCGATTATGCATGAAGTCTTATGCAAACAAAGGTGAATATTTTCTTCCATTTTTTCGGATATAACCTGTTAGCGGACATTTTTGTACCAGTTTATTCGTAAGACAGTATTAACGTGTTGAAATTATTTTATGCTATGTAAATGATAATATGTAACTTGTAATGTATTCAGGTAAGGTTGATTTAAAATAAATACTTTTGAAAACAAAGTCGTATGCAAAAAAAAGGTGATTTATTTCTTCCATTTTTTTCGGATATAACCTGTTTCTGGACATGTAGTTCTTGCACCAGTTTTTATCGTAGGCATTTGTCAACATGGTAAAATACTTTGTAAATGATAATGTCTAACTTGTTATGTATCCATGTAAGGTTGATTTAAAATAAATATTATTAAAAACTAAGCCACAGTCCGAAATCTGATAAAAAAAATAAAAATTTAAGTAGTGGTTTTCAAATGGAAAGTTTGAACTGAGAAATTGTGTGTGTGTATTTTTAGGTAATACAACAAATTTACAGCAGCATTTGGACAAACATCACCGTAACACTGATGAAACTAGTCATACTGCATCTAAGTTCAAGGCCTACCCCTCCATCAAAAACTATTCCAGCCTCGGAATTGACACGACCACTTTCGACAAAGGTAAAAAAAAATGATTGGAAATGAACAGAAAAAAAAAGTTGGATGACCTTACTTTAAAACTTCTAGTCGGAAAAGTCCTGCCATTGAGTTTAGTCAGTAACCGCCACTTTCAAACCTTGATAAAGGAGTTGAATCCAAGGTAATGAAATGTATCAGGCAACAAATCAGAAAGTTGTTAACTGATATTTGAGTCATAAAAATCTTTAACTAATTCATTTTATTATAAAATCCTGTAAAGGTTCACTTCAAAATTACATTAAAACTACTGATTGAAATTAACTACTAATTACATTACAATCATAATTAGTTAATTACATTAATTAATTCATACATATAAAAGTTAAAAACTCAAGTAGCAAATTGTACTTTTACTATTAAATTGTTATCTTTTCTGATTTTTAGTTATGATTTGCCATCAAAACACGACATCAACAAAGCTTTGCTAAAAAAGGAGGTAGACATGGTTGAAAAACTAAAAAAAGACTTGCCATCCATTTCTAAAGGGGGTTTTGTAGCAATAACACACGACGGATGGACAAGCTGTGCCACCCAGAGTTATGATACAATTACAGTTCACTTTATTAATGCCAACTGGGAACTGCGAAGTGCTGTTCTTCAAACACGTAAGGTAGAGGGTTCCCACACAGCTGAGAACATTGCTGCTAAACTTAAAGGTGGGTGGAGTTTTCTAATTATAGATGATTTAAAGACAAACATAACCTAAAACAAGCTTGATAACAGTTGAAAATAATCTCTAAATAGGGCTTACCACTTTTTTTATCAAACCACAGACTAGATTTGCATATCATGATTTATTTTTAAAAACTTAAAAAAAAAACAAGTTTAATGAAAGCTTTTTCAGTTTTTGTAAAGTGTTTTTCATTTTTGTTAAAAAAGAAGTAAACCCTTTTTACAAAATACATACTTGCATGTTACTTGATAAAAAAAATGTTTTATAATATTGTTTCAAATATTTCATAGTTGTTAAAAATTTTATTTGTTCCAGAAGCTGTTATCCACTGGAATCTCCCACCTCCTATTGTTGTAACAGACAATGCGGCAAATGAAGTCAAAGCTGTGCAGATTCTTGGTTGGGAGCGATTTGGTTGCTATGGTCACCGCATTAATCTAATAGTAAAACATTCCCTTCAAGTTCCTGAAGTTGCTAGGATAGTCGGTAAAACAAGAAAACTAGTTGGTGTGTTTCATCAGTCTACAAGTGTTAACGATTGTTTGCTTGAAAAACAGAGAACAATATATCAGAACAATGTATCAATTATTGGACACAAACTTATTCAAGATGTTCCTACGCGCTGGAATAGCTGTTATGATATGTTGGAAAGGGTTGTTGAACAGAGTGCAGCTATTTTTGCTGTCGCGAGTGATGACAAATTAAGCCAGACAGCTTCTAATAATGTAAAAACTTACTGTTTGACTTTTGATGAACATAGCACTGTAGAGGGATTATTACAGTTGCTATTACCGTTTAAAAAAGCAACATCTATCCTCTGTGCTGAAAATGCTCCGACCATAAGTAAGGTATTGTTGTGCATGGCAAAAATTAATGACATCATAAACTCAAAAACTTTTTCACCTACAATTATGAAAGTTGTTACTGTAATGAAACAACAACTACAGAAAAGGACTGATCTCGAGGACATTTCTGTTATGGGGGCCATGCTTAACCCTGACCTAAAATCAGGTTCCTTTTTGTCTGATGAACAAAAGCACCAAGCACATAAGTTGCTTTTAGACAAATGTATTTCATTGTTTGGCTCACATGGGACTGTCCCTGGTGGTTTTGTAAAAACAGAAAATGATGATGCTAGTGAAACACAAACAGCAACAAGCTCCTCTGTCCTTCCTGAACTTCCTAGCCTACCTGAACTTCCTAGCCTACCTGAACTTCCTAGCCTACCTGAACCAAATGTTGATGAGAATCACAACTTTTCTTCTCCTGAACCCCCAACTAAGAAAATAAAGTGCTCTGACTAAGAAGAATGGTTCGATGATGTTATCATTACTGGGCAGTCTCAACACCAGTGTCTAGTTTAGTTGAGCAGGAAGTTGCCCGCTACCTGTCATCGCCCAGTAACAACTCTGATGATGTAAATCTCAGCTTGCTGGAGTGGTGGAAAAAAACACGAAGATAGTTATCCACGGCTCTCTATCTTGGCTAGAAAGTATTTGGCAATTCCAGCTTCTTCTGTCCCTTGTGAACGAGTGTTCAGCCTAGCTAGCAAATTAGTCAACAAGAAGAGATCTCGCCTCAGTCCAGAGAAAGTGAATTCAATAATTTTTCTTAAAATGAACATGGATTCTTACTGGTAGATTTGTTTTTCTTCAAGTTTAGTGCTAGTTAAAGGTCATTGTGAATTTAAATGGTTAAAACGATTTCTATTGTTAAGGAGTTTATGCTTTGTCTAAAGGTTTTTTTTTGTTTTTTTTAAAGATTTTACTGAATTCAAAATGTTTTTTTTTTAAATGAACATGGATTCTTAGTATTCTTACTGGTTGATTTTTGCTTCTTCAAGCTAAGTGCTAGTAAAAGTTCATTGTGAATTTAAATGTTTAAAAAGAGTTAAATTGCTATTGTTAAGGTCTTAAGGAGTTTATGCTTTGTCTAAAAGTTTCCTTTTCCTTTAAGATTTTACAAACAATTGATATGCTAATCTAGTCTGTGTTTTGTAATATATGATCATATATTATAACTTTATAAGCAAATAAAATAATAGATATTTTAAAAGATGTGCAGTTGTGTACTAGTGTAGTATTTATAATTATATCCAACTGGTAGATGAACCAGCATATTAATAGATTTCGATTATTTACCGATTTTAATTGATTAATTATGTTTGATTCAATTCGATTATCGATTATGTTTTTGGTCCGATTCTCCATCACTAGTGTATACAGTGTTAATGTGAAAATAGCATATCATATGATAAAAGTTTTGCTATTTAATGTGGTAAATATCAATACAATGACGATGTTTCTAAATTTTGATTTCGTTTTGTTTAACTCAATGTGATACATTTACAAAATCAGTAATATTTTATTTTTTTGTTCATTTGCAAGGCTCACTATTTCATGTAAATGGTCATAAGATAATGAAGCCCGAGTTCAATTTCAACCTTAAAATGCCTGTGCATGGCTATTCACACTTCACCACATTGTCTGGATTTCTATTATTGACTTTCAAGACTAAATTTACTGTTTTGATCCTGATCACATTACATGCTCTGTGGTGCCTAAATAAATGTGGATCCAGACTATTCGTTAAAGTATTCAATTTCTAGTTACGTCTAAATTTAATATAATTTCAGTATAAAACAGTAAAATAGTCATTATTTCACACTGTTGTAACTCCTAAATGTAATGATATAGGGTCACATTGTTGTAACTTATTACAGCATTCTGGTTCTTGTATTTTTGTCAATAAAATATATTTTTCAGTGATTTTTCATTTTCTTTATTTTGATTTTTTAAAAAACTATCTACAGGAACTTCTTCGTAATTAAAAGTGTAAAAGTTAAAATAATTCTGCACACTATGATGTATTTTATATTAAAATTGGTTGAGTAAGTGTGAAGATATAGCCTGTTAAAACTTTGAAGTCGATTTTCTCAAAATGGTAAAAATACGACTCATATTTTACATCATTATGGAATTAGGGCGACGATTAATGTGGATGATAATTAGTGATGGAGAATCGGACCAAAAACATAATCGATAATCGAATTGAATCAAACATAATTAATCAATTAAAATCGGTAAATAATCGAAATCTATTAATATGCTGGTTCATCTACCAGTTGGATATAATTATAAATACTACACTAGTACACAACTGCACATCTTTTAAAATATCTATTATTTTATTTGCTTATAAAGTTATAATATATGATCATATATTACAAAACACAGACTAGATTAGCATATCAATTGTTTGTAAAATCTTAAAGGAAAAGGAAACTTTTAGACAAAGCATAAACTCCTTAAGACCTTAACAATAGCAATTTAACTCTTTTTAAACATTTAAATTCACAATGAACTTTTACTAGCACTTAGCTTGAAGAAGCAAAAATCAACCAGTAAGAATACTAAGAATCCATGTTCATTTAAAAAAAAAACATTTTGAATTCAGTAAAATCTTTAAAAAAAACAAAAAAAAACCTTTAGACAAAGCATTAACTCCTTAACAATAGCAATTTAACTCTTTTTAACCATTTAAATTCATAATAAACTTTAACTGACTTTAACTAGTACTAAGCTTGAAGAAACACAAATCTACCAATAAGAATCCATGTTCATTTTAAGAAAAATTATTGAATTCACTTTCTCTGGACTGAGGCGAGATCTCTTCTTGTTGACTAAATTGCCAGCTAGGCTGAACACTCGTTCACTAGGGACAGAGGAAGCTGGAATTGCCAAATACTTTCTGGCCAAGATAGAGAGCCGTGGATAACTATCTTCGTGTTTTTTCCACCACTCAAGCAAGCTGAGATTGACATCATCAGAGTTTCTGGGCGATGACAGGTAACGGGCAACTTCCTGCTCAACTAAACTAGACACTGGTGTTGAAGACTGCCCAGTAATGATAACATCATCGAACCACTCTTCTAAGTCAGAGCACTTTATTTTCTTAGTTGGAGGTTCAGGAGAAGAAATGTTGTGATTCTCAACAACATTTGGTTCAGGTAGGCTAGGAAGTTCAGGTAGGCTAGGAAGTTCAGGTAGGCTAGGAAGTTCAGGAAGGACAGAGGAGCTTGTTGCTGTTTGTGTTTCACTAGCATCATCATTTTCTGTTTTTACAAAACCACCAGGGACAGTCCCATGTGAGCCAAACACTGAAATACATTTGTCTAAAAGCAACTTATGTACTTGGTGCTTTTGTTCATTAGACAAAAAGAAACCTGATTTTAGGTCAGGATTAAGCATCGCCCCCATTACAGAAATGTCCTCAAGATCAGTCCTTTTCTATAGTTGTTGTTTCATTACATTAACAACTTTCATGTGTAGGTGAAAAAGTTTCCTTGTTGATCTTGTTTATCATATTTTGAGTTTATGATGTCATTAATTTTTGCCATGCACAACAATACCTTACTTATGGTCTGATCATTTTCAGCACAGAGGGTAGATGTTGCTTTTTTAAACGGTAATAGCAACTGTAATAATCCGTTCTACAGTGCTATGTTCATCAAAAGTCAAACAGTAGGTTTTTACATTATAAGAAGCTGTCTTGCTTAATTTGTCATCACTCGCGACAGCATAAATAGCTGCACTCTGTTCAACAACCGTTCAAACTTATCATAACAGCTATTCCAGCGCGTAGGAACATTTTGAATAAGTTTGTGTTCAATACTTGATACATTGTTCTGATATATTGTTCTCTGTTTATCAAGCAAACAATCGTGAACACTTGTAGACAGATGAAACACACCAACTAGTTTTCTTGGTACCGATAATCCTAGCAACTTCAGGAACTTGAAAGGAATGTTTTACTATTAGATTAATGCGGTGACCATAGCAACCAAATCGCTCCCAACCAAGAATCTGCACAGCTTTGACTTCATTTGCCGCATTGTCTGTTACAACAATAGGAGGTGGGAGATTCCAGTGGATAACAGCTTCTGGAACAAATAAAATTTTTAACAACTATGAAATATTTGAAACAATATTATAAAACATTTTTTTATCAAGTAACATGCAAGTATGTATTTTGTAAAAAGGGTTTACTTCTTTTTTAACAAAAATGAAAAACACTTTACAAAAACTGAAAAAGCTTTCATTAAACTTGTTTTTTTTTTAAGTTTTTAAAAATAAATCATGATATGCAAATCTAGTCTGTGGTTTGATAAAAAAGTGGTAAGCCCTATTTAGAGATTATTTTCAACTGTTATCAAGCTTGTTTTAGGTTATGTTTGTCTTTAAATCATCTATAATTAGAAAACTCCACCCACCTTTAAGTTTAGCAGCAATGTTCTCAGCTGTGTGGGAACCCTCTACCTTACGTGTTTGAAGAACAGCACTTCGCAGTTCCCAGTTGGCATTAATAAAGTGAACTGTAATTGTATCATAACTCTGGGTGGCACAGCTTGTCCATCCGTCGTGTGTTATTGCTACAAAACCCCCTTTAGAAATGGATGGCAAGTCTTTTTTTAGTTTTTCAACCATGTCTACCTCCTTTTTTAGCAAAGCTTTGTTGATGTCGTGTTTTGATGGCAAATCATAACTAAAAATCAGAAAAGATAACAATTTAATAGTAAAAGTACAATTTGCTACTTGGAGTTTTAACTTTTATATGTATGAATTAATTAATGTAATTAACTAATTATGATTGTAATGTAATTAGTAGTTAATTTCAATCAGTAGTTTTAATGTAATTTTGAAGTGAACCTTTACAGGATTTTATAATAAAATGAATTAGTTAAAGATTTTTATGACTCAAATATCAGTTAACAACTTTCTGATTTGTTGCCTGATACATTTCATTACCTTGGATTCAACTCCTTTATCAAGGTTTGAAAGTGGCGGTTACTGACTAAACTCAATGGCAGGACTTTTCCGACTAGAAGTTTTAAAGTAAGGTCATCCAACTTTTTTTTCTGTTCATTTCCAATCATTTTTTTTACCTTTGTCGAAAGTGGCGTGTCAATCCGAGGCTGGAATAGTTTTGATGGAGGGGTAGGCCTTGAACTAGATGCAGTATGACTAGTTTCATCAGTGTTACGGTGATGTTTGTCCAAATGCTGCTGTAAATTTGTTGTATTACCTAAAAATACACACACACAATTTCTCAGTTCAAACTTTCCATTTGAAAACCACTACTTAAATTTTTATTTTTTTTATCAGATTTCGGACTGTGGCTTAGTTTTTAATAATATTTATTTTAAATCAACCTTACATGGATACATAACAAGTTAGACATTATCATTTACAAAGTATTTTACCATGTTGACAAATGCCTACGATAAAAACTGGTGCAAGAACTACATGTCCAGAAACAGGTTATATCCGAAAAAAATGGAAGAAATAAATCACCTTTTTTTTTGCATACGACTTTGTTTTCAAAAGTATTTATTTTAAATCAACCTTACCTGAATACATTACAAGT